TGTACAGTTTATTTCCATTCCAAACAGAGCTACCATGAGAGATAAAGCCAAATCCTTGCTCCAGACACCATTCACCAAGTCACACGTTAAAGTCCCTAATACGCATCCGCCTGTCGTTCTGAGTGTTATGCACAGGCAGAACTTCAGAGAATGACAGTGTGGAAGCAACCTGCAGTATATCATTGGCAAAAACATTAAAAACTTCCTTAACCTCTGAAACCTCATTGCAAGCCAAGTCATTTGTCCCTAGATGGACAAGTACATCCAATTCCCCTTCCTGCTCTGCTCACTTAACAATTTTACAAATAAGTCTCCTGTCTCTATGAGCAGTAACTTCGGGAAGACATCTCACAAGACCACCATTGTCCATCTCCACACCTCTTATGATGGAATCCCCCAACAACTGTTTTCTATTAGGCCTCACTATAGTCTCCAAGACTGTCTCCACAACACCACTACCTTTAGTGCCTGAGCCTGTCTCCACAACACTACTACCCTCAGTGCCTGAGCCTGTCTCCACAACACCACTACCCTCAGTGCCTGAGCCTGTCTCCACAACACCACTACCCTCAGTGCCTGAGCTTGTCTCCACAACACCACTACCCTCAGTGCCTGAGTCCGTCTTCACAACAACACTACTCTCAGTGCCTGAGCCGGTCTCCACAACAACACTACCATCCGTGCCTGTCTCCATAACACCACTACACCTGGTGCCTGAGAATGTCTCCATAACACCATTACACTCTGAAAGTGCAGAAAATGAATCATGTAGAGCAACAGACTGTGCAATATGCCTTTTATCCACAACTCTAAGTCTACCAGATCCTTCAGTAATCCATCTGCCATGCCTAGTATGTCTCTAATCACTAAGTAACCTTCTATGACTGCTCCATGGTCCAGTTCTGAGGCTCATACCCCCATTTAGCATGCTTACAACTGTGGACAAGTTTTATTAATGGCAGTCTGACTAGCTTGGAGCTTTGCAGCCCCATATATACAGCAAACCCCAATGCTCTGTGTGTTCTGGCACCTTTCTATAGCCAGCATGAAGTTTGTCAGCAATTCAAGCTACAGTAGCTCTTCTATGACATAAAACAGCAAGAACAGCCTCCCTCACTACCTGGCTTCCCCTTCCCCCTCTACTCCGGACGGTCGCTGGCATTTGTAAAGGCCAGTGACTGTTCAGAGGAGAGGGGTAAGGAGTGTTTTGTAGTGGTTACCCTAATGAGTAGAGGGGTTTCCACCGCTAGAGGGTGTCCTTCTTCCGATAGTGAGGGGTATTTTCAGTATTCAGCAGTCATCCAAGTTGAGAAGCTCTTAAAAGAGCTACTGTTATAGCTGTATAGCAGTTTCCCCAATAAGAAACAAGATTGAGGGTAAAGTAAGAACAGAATGAACTGAGGCTTTATTGTCTCTTTTATACAAGTTTTCCCACAAGGTTACCACCCATGTGGACCTTGTTGGGCACCGAAATTTACATTTAACAGCCAATAATATTCAGTCACAAAGTTAAACACTGCCATTCATTACTGTAAATTCCTTCCCTCTGCTTAGGAGATACTTGAGTTAATTACTGTATCAACTCAATTATCTCCAGGCGAAAAAAATACACCTTTTACACATTTCTCGTAACATTAAAATCAAACATCCAATTCCCATAAAACTTATATTTTCTGAACAGGCATAATTATGGGAACAACATATTAAAAAATCATGCAAATTGGGTCAGGGATTCAGGAGATAGATGGAAGTCACAATTGACTGACTGCACGCACATTTTCATGCCCAAAACAGTTCCAGAGAATTAGGCTTTGAGGCCGGTCTATTTCCCATGTTAAATTTAGTTAAAATATACGAACGGCAAGCGTTTGTGCAAACCGTCACTGTTAAAGTGCCGTTCGAATTGTCAAACGTGTTCGTATGTCAAATGGCGGCCACTTCGACTACTTCGGCTGCATCTGAAGTGCCACTAAAGTGCAGAACTATATCAGTACCATTTAAAGGGGCAGAAACAGTGCTCCAAAATACAATAGGCACAAATAGAGTTTTTAAAGTATAAAATCAGGGACAGAGGGTCAGTCACATGTGTGTTGTTGTGTCTGTCAGTGAGTGAATGTATGTCTGTTAGTATGTGTGTGTGTATGTATGTGTGTGTGTGTGTGTGTGTGTGTCTGTCAATGAGTGAGTGTGTGTCTGTCAGTAAGTGTCTGTAGGTGTGTCTGTCAGTGAGTGAGTGTATGTATGTATGTAAGTGTGTGTGTGTGTGTGTGTGTGTGTCTGTCAGTGAGTGTCTTTCAGTGTCTGTGTGTGTCTGTATGTGAGTGGTATGTCAGTGAGTGTGTGTGTGTGTGTGTCAGTGAGTGAGTGTATGTCTGTCAGTGAGTGTGTGTGTGTATGTCTGTCAGTGAGTGGGTGTATGTATGTCAGTGAGTGTGTGTGTGTGTTAGTGAGTGAGTGTATGTATGTCAGTGAGTGTCTGTAGGTGTGTCTGTCAGTGAGTGAGTGTATGTATGTAAGTGTGTGTGTCTGTCAGTGAGTGTCTTTCAGTGTCTGTGTGTGTGTGTGTGTCTGTCAGTGAGTGAGTGTATGTATGTCAGTGAGTGTGTGTGTGTAGGTCAGTGAGTGAGTGTATGTCTGTCAGTGAGTGTGTGTGTGTGTATGTCTGTCAGTGAGTGGGTGTATGTATGTCAGTGAGTGTGTGTGTGTGTCAGTGAGTGAGTGTATGTATGTCAGTGAGTGTCTGTAGGTGTGTCTGTCAGTGAGTGAGTGTATGTATGTAAGTGTGTGTGTCTGTCAGTGGGAGTGTATTTCAGTGTCTGTGTGTGTGTGTGTGTGTGTGTGTCTGTCAGTGAGTGAGTGTATGTGTATGTCAGTGAGTGTGTGTGTGTGGGTCAGTGGTGGTGTATGTATGTCAGTGAGTGTGTGTGTGGGTTAGTGGTGGGTGTATGTCTGTCACTGGTGTGTGTGTGTCTGTCACTGATTGAGTGTATGTATGTAAGTGTGTGTGTCTGTCAGTGAGTGTGTCTTTCAGTGTCTGTGTGTGTGTGTGTGTGTGTGTGTCTGTCAGTGAGTGAGTGTATGTATGTCAGTGAGTGTGTGTGTGTAGGTCAGTGAGTGAGTGTATGTATGTCAGTGAGTGTGTGTGTGGGTTAGTGAGTGAGTGTATGTCTGTCACTGAGTCTGTGTGTGTCTGTCACTGATTGAGTGTATGTATGTAAGTGTGTGTGTCTGTCTGTCAGTGAGTGTGTGTGTGTGTGTGTGTGTCAGTGAGTGTGTGTGTGTGTCAGTGAGTGTCTGTGTGTTTGTGTGTCAGTGAGTGAATATATGTCTGTCAGTGTGTGTGTGTTTGTGTGTCTGTCAGTGAGTGAGTGTATGTCTGTCAGTAAGTGAGTGTGTGTGTCTGTCAGTGAGTGAGTGAGTGTATGTCTGTCAGTGAGTTTGTGTGTGTGTGTGTGTGTGTGTGTGTGTGTATCAGTGAGTGTGTGTCTGTCAGGAAGTATGTGTGTCTGCCAGCATGTGTCTGGTAGACACACACTGGCAGACACACTCACTGACAGACATGTATGTTTGTCAGTGAGTGTGTGTGTGTGTGTGTCTGTCAGTGAGTGAGTGTATATCTGTCAGTAAGTGTGTGTGTGTGTCTGTCAGAGAGTGAGTGTATGTGTATCAGTGAGTGAGTGAATGTCTGTCAGTGAGTGTGTGTGTGTCTGTCAGTTAGTGTGTGTGTCTGTCAGTATGTGTCTGTCAGTGAGTGAGTGACATGATATTTGCCTAGGGTGCCATAAATCCTTGCACCAACTCTGCTTCCAACATGAACTGCCCCACAATGGACCCCATGGAGGTGAGTGTTTGAGTGTTTGACTGGCGGTGAGTGCGTGTGTGTGTGTGTGTCTGTCACTGAGTGTCTGCCTGTGTGTGTGTCTGTCAGTGAATGAGTCGATGTATGTCAGTGAGTGTCTGCCTATGTGTGTGTGTGTGTATGTCTGTCTGTCAGTGAGTGTATGTATGTCAGTGTGTGAGTGTGTGTCTGTCAGTGTAGTGTCTGTGTGTGTGTGTGTGTGTCTGTCAGTGAGTGGGTGCATGTTGGTCAGTGAGTGTGTGTGTGTGTGTGTGTGTGTGTGTATATATGTATGTCAGTGAGTGTCAGTGTATGTGTCTGTCAGTGAGTGATTATATGCCTGTCAGTGAGTGTGTGTGTGTGTGTGTGTGTGTCTGTCAGTGAGTGAGTGTATGTCTGTTAGTGAGTGTATGTGTGTGAATGTATGGCTGTCGTGTAGTGAGTGTCTGTGTGTGTGTATGTCTGTCAGTGAGTGAGTGTATGTATGGCATTAAGTGTGTGTGTGTGTGTGTGTGCTTGTGTGTGTCAGTGAGTATGTGAGTGTATGTCTGCCAGTAAGTGAGTGTGTGTGTGTGTTTGTCAGTGAGTGAGTGTATGTCTGTCAGTGAGTGTATGTGTGTGTGTGTGTGTGAGTCAGTGTGTCTGTCAGTGAATGTGTGTTAGTGTGTCTGTCAGTAAGTTTCTGTGTGCATGTGTCAGTATGTGTCTGTGAGTGTCTGTCTGTCAGTGAGCGTTTGTGTGTGTGTGTCTGTCAGTGAGTGAGTGTAATGCTGTCAGTGAGCGTTTGTGTGTCTGTCTGTCAGTGAGTTTCTGTTTGTGTGTGTGTGTGTGTCTGTGTATGTCTCAGTGAGTGAGTGTATGTGTATCAGTGAGTGAGTGTATGTCTGTCAGTGAGTGTATGTGTGTGTGTGAGTGAGTCAGTGTGTCTGTCAGTGAGTGTGTGTTTGTGTGTCTGTCAGTGAGTTTCTGTGTGCATGTGTCAGTATGTGTCTGTGAGTGAGTGAATGTATGTCTGTCTGTCAGTGAGCATTTGAGTGTGTGTGTATGTCAGTGAGTGAGTGTATGCCTGTCAGTGAGCATTTGTGTTTCTGTCTGTCAGTGAGTTTCTGTTTGTGTGTGTGTGTGTGTGTGTGTCTGTGTATGTCTCAGTGAGTGAGTGTATGTGTATCAGTGAGTGAGTGTATGTTTGTCAGTGAGTGTGTGTCTGCCAGTATGTGTCTGGCAGACACACACTGGCAGACACACACACTCACTGACAGACATGTACATGAACTGACTGTTGACTTACTGCCTAATATCCCATCCCTCAACAGGTTCCATTGTAACAATATAAATCAATGTTATGGTGTGTGTGTGTGCGTGTGTATATATATATATATATATATATATATATATATATATAGGGAGAGAGAGAGAGAGAGAGAGAGAGAGAATTTTGCCCAATTTTATATTAGTTACTCTCTCATCCAGTTAACCTCATGAAAATTATTCAGCACTACAGCGAAAATGGGCACTTGTGCATTCACTGTGAGCAACACCATCTACAGCAAGAATTTTCATGCATTAACTGCCAGTTTATATAATCCTTAAGTATATGTTGTATAGTTAGTGTCTGTTTTTCTTTTCTTTTTTTATTTAAAGTACCATGTTATTGCTTTAGCAATTTCTAAATTAGCGGTGTGACTGCAATATTGATATAGTTTATTTTTCTACTCTCTTCAGTACACAGTTTAATGAGATAAAATCAATTATCAGGAAAAATTTAACAATTTTATGCAGGATGAAATGTTGGTATCCATTGTACAGGAAAATATAACGTTTGTGGCTAGAAAAGCATCCACATTGTCCATACATAATAACATAGTTACATAGTTAAACAGCTGAAAAGAGACTTGAATCCATCAAGTTCAGCCTTCCTCACATTTATTTTTTGCTGTTGATCCAAAAAAAGGCAAGTTTGAAGCATAACAAGCTAGGAAAAAAAATCCTTCTTGACCCCAGAATGGCAGTCAGATTTATCTGTGGATCAAGTTATTACCCTACATTGAAAGATTATATCCTTGAATATTCTGTTTTTGCAAGTATGCATCTAGTAGCTGTTTGAACATCTGTATGGACTCTGACAAAACCACTTCTTCAGGCAGAGAATTCAACATCCTTATTGTTCTTACAGTAAAAAAAACTTTCCTTTGCCTTAGACAAAATATTCTTTCTTCCAGTCTAAACGCATGACCTTGTGTCCTATGTAAAGTCAGGTTTGTGAATAGATTTCCACACAATGGTTTGTATTGGCCCTGAATATATTTGTATAATGTTATCATATCCCCTCTCAGGCAATGTTTTTGTAAACTAAATAGGTTTACATTTGTTATCCTTTCTTCATAGCTGATATGTTCCATTCCTTTTATGAATTTTGTAATATAATATCCTTCTTTAGAACAGGTGCCCAAAATTGCACAGCATATTCAATATGTGGTCTTACCAGTGATTTATAAAGAGGCAAAATGATATTCTCGTCCCGAGAATGAATGCCCTTTTTCATGCATGACAATACCTTACTGGCCTTGGCCACTGCTGATTGACATTGCACATTGTTGCACAGTTTGTTGTCTATAACAATTCCCAAGTCCTTTTCGTGTGCTGTTATCCCTAATTCGCTTCCATTAAGGGTATATGTTGCTTGTGTATTATTTACGCCGAAGTGCATAACTTTGCATTTTTCAACATTAAATTTAATCTGCCATTTGAGTGCCCAGTCCCCCAGTCTATCTAAATCTCTCTGCAGCAAAGTAATATCTTGCTCAAATTGTATTATTTTACAGAGTTTTGTGTCATCTGCAAACACTGAAACGTGACTTTCAATGCTGTCTTCAAGATCATTTATAAACATGTTACATAGAAGGGGTCCCAGAACAGACCCCTGAGGGACACCACTTGCCACCTCTGTCCAGCTTGAAAATTTACCATTAATGACAACTCTTTGTACTCTGATTTTAAGCCAATGTTCCACCCAAGAACAAGCATTTTCATCTAGACCGATTTCCTTGAGTTTGAACACTAATCTTTATAACTCTTACCTAGTATTTTTGTAAGTAGTGAAATTAGAAGTAAGATAGTTAATAGTGCCTGGTGAAGGCATTAAGGGCTTTATAAATGTGACTCAAATACTTGCAAATCATGTAATTATGCTCTGAGAAGTTAGTAATTTTGTTTGAAGGTTGCTGGAAAGGAATTTCAAATGTGTACATTAATTAATTGCACATTATGCGGTGTTCAGAAAGTGGGCAAGACAGAATGAAATCTAAAAGCTATTGTGAGTACTTCAATAGTATTGAAAAGGGCAATCGGCACACTGCAATGTCAAGCATTTTAGGGAGCAGCATGATGGCACAATATACAGGGTTATTCACTAAAGTGAGACCTGAAAGGGAATTTTAAGTGAATTTCAAACGTAAGGTCAAAATAGCCTTACCAGCAGCCTGGAATAAAGTTACGATTTTACTATATTTAGGGAGTGGGGGCAGGGGGGCATGTTTGTGTTCCTGACCTCATAATATTCCTTTAAATAAAATTTAAATTCTCACTTTAGTAAATAGTCCTCACAGTATTTTTCTTTTCAATGGATAGAGTAGAGAGTATTTTTTTTCTGGATCTAGGGAACCAGGATTTTTCATGAATTGAGTGTGGAGTGGAACATCTCCCTTTTATATTTAATGTGGGTTTGATGATATATACAGTCGCCTTGAGATATATGCAGTCACCTTCTGGTATTTGTTAGATGCCTGCCAGTGTGCAATGTTCATGTAATTACAGTATGAGCACATGTGAGTGTCTGCAATATCAATATGAGTGCTCATGTTTTTGGTAAGTGTGAGGAAACGTATCCATCTCCATCCATCTCTGTGGATACACCTCTGACTCTGATTTATAATTTACATATTGTTTGCCAAAAAGTATTGTATTGAATCCCCCTTTATGTACAGTTCAATTTGTATAACCATTCTCCTGAAAATGCCTTGAACAGGTGGTGTATGTGGTCTGCAACAATGACTAGGATGGTCGTACATATCACAGTAACATCCACATGAATGCCAGGACCCAAGGTTTCCCAATAGAAAAGTGTCCATAGCATCGACCAGCCTGCCATCTTTCCATAGTGCATCCTGTTGCCATCTCTTCCCCAGATAAACAATCCATATTCACCCAGCTTTTCACCTGATCTAAAAGAAATATGATTAATCAGACCAGGCAACCTTCGGTCCTTGCTCCATGGTTCAGTTCTGACAGTCATGTCCCAATTGAAAGTGCTTTCCTTAGAACCCCCTTCAGTTGGCTACTGTGCACCCAAATATCAATGATTCTGTGGCTGTCAGTAATAAGAGATGTGTGCAGATTCCAATTCCTTGTGTCTCCTGTGTAAATGCAAATTACCCACTTCTGCTAGAGAACACAGCAAACCTCTTACTCTCGCAACATATTGGAATCTTACTAGGCATTCAGTGATAACACAAAATATGAGCATCCTAGTGTGACCTTCGAAAAGTTTTTGACCTAGGGCAAATGCATTTATCTCACCATAAAGGTATATCTACCTATGTTGTTGTTGCATTGATCTACAATAAAGTGATTATTATCACTACTACTCACTAGAATCTGATGATATATGATGAGCCATGACAGACAAGGAAAGACAGAACCACCCTTAAAATGCTAGCAATGCCAAACAGATCTTAAGGAGAATTGATGTATTGAAACACTATCCTGTCCTTCTACATTATTGCAGAGGGGCTGTAAATGGTATTCTCCTTAACTCTACCCATATTCTAAAACAATTGTTGCACACAAATATAATAGTTGCTTACTAGAAATCCAGGGAGGGGGAATAAGAAATCAGGGAGGGGGACAAGGGATTCTCTGAGCACATTGAGAATTCAACAGGGATTTTTTGTTGGATGTAATTGCAGCACAGATATGCAGGGAAAGCAATGTACTAATTGTATGTAAATGCTATGGTTTATTAGCAACATACATTCCCAGAAATACCACCAGTGTCCTCTACAATATTCATGCTCTTTATCTGACCACTTTTACATGTCAATTTTGACACATTTACAGATAAAATTTGGTTATCTAAGCTAAAATTTACAGATGAAATATTAAAATGAAGAAGGCATCATATACTATCTAAAATGTATTATTCATTTAATGATTCTTTTAAAAAAATACATAAACATTAAACTTCTGAAACTTTTTTTAGATATACCTGAAGATCCCTACATACAATTTTGGATCCTGTTTTATCTTACCTTTATGTGCTGTCAATGCATTCTAATAAACAAATAAATCAATAAATATAAAATATTTTAAGAAAATAATGTGGTAGTGAAGTGGTGTACAGCAACAAAATTAGATTAATTTACAAGTACAATATATAAACAACGATCACTATACTATTTATAGAATTATAGCATTCCTTATAATTGCAATACAAGTTTACCAATTTACAGGAAATAACAAATGTAAACAGATGGCACTGTATTATATATTAGTAGAGATAAATACCACTTAATTGTATACCTTCTAAATATAACATAGTCAGCTGTACATTTTCAAAAGACTCTAAATGTTAAGCAAAATTAGTTTGATGTGTTCAGTTATATAGTACATGTATTAAATCTGGCAAAAATGGTAATTCTAGCTTGTGAATTAATTTTCTTAAAGGGATATTCTAAGCAACCATTACAACTTAGTGTAGTGGTTATGTTGCTAATAGTCTCTGGGCAACATCCCCCAAATGCTTGCTGAATTGGATGCTCTACATAAAATGGGGGTCTGTTTACAAGCAAAGACTGCCCACTGCTTGGCAACATCAGTAATGAAGAATTATGTATTATCAGTGTCAATTCCATTCAATCTGGGCTCACCCATCCCAGCACTCTCAGTTACTATCTCCCGATTGAATTCTTTCATCCAAAAACAGTAGACAAATATCAACTATTTCTAGCCATTTTTTTTTTAAACAGCATTATCCCATAGCCAGCATTAATCTTTACGTTACCCTAACCCTGCACTAACCCTACAGCTAACCTTAACCCTAACCCTACCCTAACACTAACCCTACCCTACTTTTACCCTTACATTTAACCCTACCTTAACCCTAACCCCAACGCTAAGGTCAACCACTGTTAATATCAATTGTGATAATAAAAATGATTTTTTACAAATTAACCCAGAAGATTGTGATATGTTGCCACCACTTATTGGTTATTTATTT